TGTTCTAGTACTATGAACTTACGTTGCTTTCCTGCATTTATCCTGAATTAAAAAATTGTTCACACATCGACTGGATTCGTTGAAATGGATTTTTTTTTCAATAGTAGCCTAACTAGGAATTTTTGATTAAAAGAAAAATAAGACTTTTTTTTCGAAAAAAGTTTTTTTTTGAAGCAGAATTTTTCTGTGAGAAAAGTACTCAAAGATTGTAATGGAAATCGTTTGAAGTCCATAAGTAATAAATGAAACAAGAGAGATAGTTAATAAAGATGCAAATATTTTGCTGATTTTTTGAGTTAAAACATTTACTTCAAAAAGTGTGAAAAGCACCTGTTAAAATTTTTGCTGTTCCCTTCTTGTCCCCCTTGCTCACTAGTACCGCAAACAAATGAACTGTTGTGTGTGCCTGCATTTGTTACGTTAGATTTGTAAATTAATGAGGTGTTCTTAAAGGAGAAATTGAGACCACATCCTCTTTAAAAGAAAATTTTTTAAACTCATTTGATTGAGGCATACCAGGAAAAGTTGTCAAAAAATGCGATTCAGGCAAAAAAGATAACAAAAATGGTTGAGGGAAAAGTTACCAAAATGTGGTATTGCGGTGTGCAGTTCTGCCTAAAAAAAATTTGCACGCGAAGTTTGACTTTCCTTAACTAAATTTCGTACCTTTTATCCGTGTTTTTGCGACTCTTTACCGGTTGTATGATTGCTGTGCTCATGTTTTTGCGATTTACTCGTTTAACAATAGAGCGTGCGCCGGAACCATGCAGGATGGTACTGTTCAGAAAAATGCTTTGCATATGATTTTTATTTTACACATACTTGTGAACACAGCTGATCACCGATAAAGTCTTGTGCAATTTGGTTACTTCTGTGTTCGACAAATATTTCATGTAGGAGAGGAGCATGCACTACACAGACTTCTGTGTTCAGGAAATAACACTGGGAAAAGCGGTCATTGCCACTGATGTCCCGCAGGCATGCGGTCATTTTGCAATGAGCAATGAGTTAAAAAAAATTTTTTTTAAAAAGGAAACCCTGTCGGGAATATTTTGGTCGGCTCCACCGTCAGTCAATATTTTCACCATTCGGGCACGTTCGTCAGCGCGTGGTAGCCCGTAAGCGTAATGAAGTGGCGTTCGTCCCTCCTGAAATCAGTCTTCTCAAAATTTTAGTTGTACAAATCAAAAGCCGACCCCAAAATTTTACAAACTCTACCATTTTTCTTGTACACCTCCTGCTGTGCAACTCAAAAATTGCTTTGTGTTCTAGCGCCTTTTCTTTGACGTTACTTATTTGATTGACGAAAGACAGAGCTGAG